GCCTGCGGCTCTTCCTTTGCAGCTGCTCTGGTCGGAGGCCCCTCCACACACGGCGAGCCCGGGGCCCCGTGATAACCGAGCGGCGCACGTTCAGCCCCTCCTATCAGGCTCAGCCCAGCTCTCGTGCGGGGAGAGAAGCGAGGCCCTGCCTAGAGCTGCGGAGCCGGAGTGGGGGCTGCGGGGAGGGGCCCAGATCTGGCCATGTCCGACTATGGGATCTCAGTGGAGGAGCTGAACGACTTGCTGGCTAACGGCACCGGCTGCTACAGCCTCCCCAGCGCGCACAGCAACGAGGTGGCGCCCCGCATCCACGTGGGGAACGCGTGAGTGCGGGGGGGCAGTAAGGGGTGTGGGGTGCTGAGGCCCAGGCGGTGATCTCCCCAGCCAGCTCGCACCGGCTTGACTTGAGGGGCGGGCTGGGGGAAGCTGGGCTGCTGGCAACCCAGCTCAGCTCCCACCCCGCTCCTGTTCCCGCTGTGCGACTGTTTGTGTGAGAACTTGGCAGGGGGTTGGGGCCAGGGTCCTAGGAGGTCGCGGGAAGGAAAGATCTGTGAATTAGGGTTATGTGGCCCTGCCTGGGCATTCATGGCAAGGGCCCTGGGAGTTTTGAAATTGAATTATGGGACCCCTAAGATTGCAGAACTTAGGGTGGGCTCCTGCTTGTCTGTTAACAGGAAAGCCTTCTGAATTGCAGAAAAGGAGGTGCTTAAGAAATGGTATTAGTCAGAGGTTTTTGGTGGCCCAGAACCGAGGGGTGGCAGAATAAAAGCAGTCAACGCTAATTCAAGAAGGGGCTAAAAATGGCTTGCTCCCCAGGCTCAGATCTGAATGTGAATGTGTCAGCACTAGCCTTTTGCTACTGTTGCAGCTGGGTAGCTGTCCTGGCGGGTTACGTTTAAATTCTACAGGCCTACACACCACAAGAACCCCCTCGCCCCTGAATGGTAGCAGGTATTCAAGAAAATGTGTTATTTGCTCAGTTCTAGGGGTGGGAGAGCAGGGCTGTCACCCTGGGCACCAGCTTCCAGGAGGTGCCTTTAAAAAAACTATCTCAGCTGCTTGGGGGTGGGTTAGGATGCCAAAAATATTCTCCACCCTGGCTGGCAAGATGCCCAGGGGCTGTTCCTGTTCTAAGTTGTAAAGTATTTACAGTCACTCCGCCCAGGCCCGGGGGGATCTGTTCTCTGTTTCTGACCTGCTGTGAGATGTTGGGCCAGTCACTATATTGCTCTGTGCCTCGGTTTCCCTTCTCAGCCATTATCTCCTCTGTTTAGACACAAGATTTTGGGCAAGTGGTCTGACTCTTACTAGCAGAAGGTGGACCTGTGGGTGCTAAGGTGATACAAATTAGATCTTGCACCTTTATCCTACATACAAAAGAAGCTCATAAGAACGGCCATACTGGGTCAGACCCATGGTCCATCTAGCCCACTCTTCTGGCAGTGACTGGTGACAAATACTCCAGAGGGAATGAACAGAACAGGGGAAATCTGCTGGTGTCCAGTCCCAGCTTTTTGCAGTCAGAGGTTTAGTGTCCAGGGTTCCCTGTAAGCTGTGCGCTTGTGGGGCCACTCAGGAGAGATCCTAATGCTGCCCAGCTGATTAGCACAGTACCCACAGGTAGGTTTTTAGTTTCTATAGGTGGTGCACTTTTGCACATGCCTAAGGGCACATAAAATGTATTCTGCACATGGATGGGAAAAATGGGTCCTTTGTTATATAACACGTTTTCTCCACTTTTTCATAATTCTATAGACCATCTAAGTTGTCTCTTTTCTAAGATGACCCGTCCCAATCTTTTTATCTCTTCTAAAATGGAAGCTGTTCTATAGCTCTTAAGTTTTGTTGCCCTTCTCTTTACTTTTTCCAATATTAATGTGTCTTTTTTCCCCCTGAGATGGGGCAGTATTCAAGCTGTGAGCATATCATAGATTGAGATGGTGGTGGGCAACCTGGGGTCAGCCCTTTGAGGTTCTGTGTGTGGCCTGCAAGACATTTTGTTTACTGTCGCCCACACGCAGTGTTGCTGGATTCTGCTGGCTTTTATTCACATCGGTTTTTTTCCCCCCTTACCGGTATAACACAAAAGACACACAAAAAGAAAGGGACATGACGTGAGGTGCGTGCTGATTGCTTACAACATTGTGAACGCCGTGCACCCCCCTCCCCCCCCGCATCCAATCAAAACGTTTTATGGTTCATTCGGCACCACCTGCAAATTCTAGGTACACAAGGGCAGTTAACAAACCTACCTTATCCTGGGATACTGTCTTGGTTATGACAGTCTTTCGGCCACTGAGATGAAGGAAGGCCACTCGTGTGACACTTACTAGCCTCGGTTGCCTTATTGTGACACTATGGGATTTGTTGTCTTATTTATTCTCTTATCTTTCCTATGGGTTACTAACATTCTGTTAGTTTTTTGATTTCTACTGCAGATGTTTTCAGGGAAATATCCACACTCACGCCAAGTTTTTTTGTTTTGTTTTGAAATGAGTGTGTAGTCGGGATTATATTTTCACATGAGCATTACTTTGCAGTTGTATTGCATTTCATCTGCCATTTTGTTGCCTAGTTTTGTGAGACCCTTTGTTATTTTTCGCAGTCTGCTTTGGACTTTATACAAAAGAGCAGGTTAGACAAACACCTGTCAGGGATAGTCTAGGTCAGTTGTCCCCAAACTGTGGGACGTGAGTGAAGGAACTTCTGGGGTGGAGCGGGAGAGCCCTGAGCAACAGTCATGCCAGGGGTAACAGTGGAGTCTTTATTCAGCAGACAAAGATATCATAGGATGCCGTGTTTGGAGACGGAAGCCACCGAAGTTCAGACGGGAACTAAGATTCATATTTTTAACAAGGCAGGTAATCAGTCATTGGCACAGACTAACACGAGATATGATAAACGTTCCAGGCCTTGGAGACTGTAACTCGAGAATGAATGGCTTTCTAAATGTTGAGTTTGAATTCAGGCACAAGTCGTGGGCTAAATGCAGGAAGCACTGGGTGAAATTCTGCGGTGGTGTGGTAGGGCAGGCCAGACTAGAGGATTGTAACAGTTTCTTCTAGTTCTCAAATGGGTGATGTTTTCTTGATAACTGGTTTCTCGACTTCTTACACTGTCCCTGGAACTCTATATTGCTGTGAATATCTTACACCGGCAGGTTTTAAACTGTTTGGCCTGCAGCCCACCCCACTCAACGCACCAGCAGCCAACCCTCCATGATGACGAAAGGGGTGCAAGACAGTGTGAGGCTGTGGGGTGTGGAAAGGAGGTTGGGTGCAGGAGTGGGGGGGGAGGGGGGGGGCGGTGTTA